TGTAATAACTGTTCATGGTGTTAGATGGGTACTAGATTTATCAGGGTGATCACTTTGGGTTTTTTTTATTTTTTTTTATTTTTTATTTTATCCTCACCGGAGGACATTTTTCCATTTTTTGTACAGATAGAGCGGGAGGGAGAGAGAGGAAGAGAGAGAGAGAGAGAGAAACATCGATGTGAAGGGACACATCAAGTGGCTGCCACCCGCACGACCAACCAGGGCCAGGGACAAACTGCAACCGAGGTACATGCCCTTAGCGGGAACCGAACCCGGGTCTCTCTGGACCGCAGGCTGACGCTCCAACCGCTGAGCCAAACCGGCCAGGGCAGGGTGATCACTTTGTAAGTTATATAAATGTCTAAGCACTGGGTTATACACCTAAAACTAATATAATAGTGTATGTCAACTGTAATTGAAAAATAAATATTTTAAAAAATAAAGTCTAATATTAAATTTTTTAATCTTTAATTTAAAAAAAAAAACATGTTTTTGTTGATTTTTAGAGAGAGAGAGATAGAAACATTTATGAGAAACATCAGTCGGCTGCCTCCTGCACACTGCCTTTTGGGGATTGAGCCTGCAACCCAGGCATGTGCCCTAACAGGAAATCCAACCAGGACCTCTCAGTCCATGGGACCACGCTGGTCAGGCTAATACTGAATTTTAAAAATATTATCCTCAGAGAGATGAGAGAAGATATTGCATTCTTGAAATTTAGAAAAATAGGACATCTGTAATACTTTCAACAATAAAGATACATTTAAACAAAAAAGATAAATATACCAAAACTTTTTCCCCCTTAAAGGATATATGAAACCTTCCAGAAAGTAAAACAAAATGGATACATGAGTTGGGGGTGTGACCAAGGGAACCTTAGCTTTATGTATAATATTTTAATATTTTGCAAGGAGAATGCAGTCACCTTATTCTTATTTTTCCATTGAGGCATTTTATTTGCACATATGTATTACATCCCTAGAAAAAGAATCCTGGGATTTCCCCTCCTGTGTTTTCATCTTGCTTCTTCATGATCCATGATGCCCGCTGAGGATTGAGTACAATGAAACCAAACTGACCAGAAGAAAGCAGATGGTTCTGCCATTTTTCTAGATCTTTGAGTTGCATATCAAATCTGGAGCCGATTACTCCACACTTGTCTAACCTGCCTGTGAGGTTCACAATTTTCCCAGTTCTGTGGTCATCAGTAAATTCCCCGATGTAACCATGCTTCATCATCACAGTTAGAAACCGGACGATGACTGGAGCATGGTCTAATAAGAACCTGGCGTTTGCCTCTTTGCATTGTTGATACTTTTTTTCAATATATATTTTTATTGATTTTTAGAGAGGAAGGTGGGGGGGTGGGAGGAGAGAGAGAGAGAGAGAGAGAGAGAGAGAGAACTTCCATTAGAGAGAACATCGATTGGCTGCCTCCTGCATGCCCCTCAATGGGGATCAGACCCACAACTTGGGCATGTGCCCTGACCGGGAATAATCCAACCGGTGACCTCCACGCTCAACCACTGAGCGGCCAAGCATTGTTAATATTCTTTTTTTTTTTTTTTTTTTTTTTTAAATTTCTCAAGTACTGGGAGGGAGGGAGAGAGAGATGCAGAGAGACAGAGAGAAACATCAACATAATGGAGCCATTGAGGAACTGCAACCGAGGTACAGGGTCCTTGACCAGAATGGAAGCCGCAACTCATTGGTCCGCAGGCCATAACCGCTGAGCCAAACTGCCGGGCAATTATTGATACTCGAGAGCTTCAGCCCGGGCATTCGCGCGCACCTTTACGGCCACTCGGAAGGTTGGCAGAAAGAGGGCGGGAAGGGTGAGCGCACAGACTTATGGGCCAGTTTTGAATTTTGTGTAATTAAAAAACTGAGCACATGTGGCAATGCCTGTAATGCCTCAGGCACACATTAGGTCCCTGGTAGTTTCTCTTCCCTTCAGAAGCCCAGGGCTTGGCAGGCAGCTCCAGAGCCTTCCCCACTTGATGGCTCAGCCAGAGATCACAAAGTTTGAGCAGCTGATTGGATGGTGGTGGTGGTAGCCCCTGGGCCTGTATTCCAAGTAGTATTCCCAAAGGCATGCACCTTTTGTTTCTGATTAGAAGGCCTTGATTTACATGCTGTGTTGAGGGACACACACAGTCTCTGAAATTAATTACTATTTTGGCCTGGTTTGACCCATGTGAATGAAACAAGATCATAAGTTAGTGTGGGAATGACCCAGCCCCCTTTCACCCCAACTTCTCAGTCAGTTGTGTTAGAAGAGGGAAAAAAACCAATAGACGAAAACCTTTATTAAGTGTCAACTACATCAGACTCATCAGAGGTGCTTGTTAGAAGTGTACTTGGGCCCCCTCCCAAAGCCTTTACATAAACCTAAGCAGTGGAGCCCAGAGGTTCAGCTGACAACTCCTGAAGCAGGTACATGTAGAAGCCAGATCTCAGTTATACGAATATATTACCTTATTTTCTTTAGTTCAACTTACCCTTACTTGAGTCTCCGTTCTACCTGCTCAAGAAAACATTCTCTTATTCATTTCCAAGTGAGCTCTGTCACCCCACCATCCCCTTCTCCTGCCTCCACCATTAATCTAAATTTGGGGAGTTCCTTAACACCACAGCACAGGTTGGGTGGGGGGAGGGGCTGCTCACTGAGAGTCCTCTCTCTGAGATAAATTCTCCCAGTCCCTGATTCCATGGATCACACATGCCCTAATTTCTACTCTGCTGCCGCTCACCCCAGGATCCAATAGCCACAGCAATGTGCCAGCTCTCCAAGCCACACCCCACAGCCCTGCCTCCCAAAAATTGTATTTCAAGTTCTGTCCCTCCCTTCCATGTCCTGGACTTGGCCATGGGTGGAAATGGGGATGACTCCTAAACCAGTGTCTAACATCTTATCTAGTCCTCCTCTAGCTTCAGGGAGGGTGTTGGGGCAGGGCTGGAAGGGGCTCTGCCTGTTTGTACCTCCTTCCAACCTTCCCTGTCTTAGACCCAAAGAGTGTGGCTTTTGAACTTGAAAGCTTAGAATTGGTATTTTTGTTCTCTGGCTAGAGAGTAGCATATCTCAGGGCCAAAAAGCAAGAGCTGGCCCCCCCCCACAGTGGGATCTGAGGCCACCATGGAAGCCGCTCTTTTGTTCCTTTTCACTTAGGCTGAGCCACCCGACATTGTGTGGCAGAGCACAAGGATCAGTGAAGTAGTTGCTCCTCAGAGGAGGGAGTGGAGAGCATCTTATCTATGTTCCACTGAGTCCCCACACCCAGCACATAGGCTCCCTATTCACTTACTTCCCCCAGACAGCTAGGAAAGGACACCTTTAGTGACACAGCCAGTTCCCAGGCTTCTACTGGGAGGCGGTAGGGTGCTGCCTGGGAGAGGTTCTCACACCTGAAGGCCCTGGGAAGCCAGAGTCGGGGAGGGAAGAAGCTTGCTCCTGTTTGTCTCCCAGACCAAGGCCACCAGCCTCTCCTTTTCCCCTTCCAGGGATACAATGAGGACCCCCATTGGGGATCCCCTAAGATGTCTCCTTCTTCATCTTTGAAACTTGCCTTTACCCACCCCACCGCATAGGCAGTTCACCTGGTCCTATTTTCTCCTGGCTGAGGTGCCAGGCTTGCTGGGAATGAGTTGGGTGGGCATGTGCAGCTGCTGGGTCTGTTCACAGGACCTAAAAAGAGATCAGTCAGGAATAGAAGGGGCCATGGATAATCTTCTCCACCACATTCCATATCAAGCCATTTAACAAATATATATTTAGTGCCTACACAGCTAATATATTTTGGGTCCGGAGACAGGGCTGGAATTGTCCAAGGTCACACCTATAAGACTAATACACATGTGCCCCTAGCCAGTTTTGCTCAGTGGTTAGAGCGTTGACCTGCGGTCTGGAGAGACCCCAGGTTCTGTTCCGCTAAGGGCACATACCTCAGTTGTAGTTTGTCCCCGGCCCTGGTTGGGTCGTGCAGGTGGCAGCCACTCAATGTGTCCCTTTCACGTCGATGTTTCTCACTCTCTCTCTCTCTCTCTCCCTCCCACTCTATATGAACAAAAAATGGAAAAAATGTCCTTGGGTGAGGATAAAAAAAAAAAAGACTAATACACATGTAAAGTAGTACAATGTAACTGGGGTACAGTAGCCCCCCCCTTTGTCTATTGTTCTTTTCCCACCAAAACAATAACAACAACAAACAAAACAAAAACCCTGTCCCTTTTGGCCCAGGCCCTGTGCCTAGGAAAAAAGCTGAGCCCTCCTCTTGAGACCAGGTAGCTGATCCAACTCTGGGCCAGAGCTAGGTTTTGGGCAGTCTGCAGCGGCCACGCACATGAAGCAGCCCCACCAGGCAACCTCTATCTACCCTCCTCCCTGGGGTCCTAAGCTTGCCCTACCTCAGTCGGGCTTAGCTTGCCAAGTACCCCTGGTCTAAAGTCCATTTGTGAGGTGGGGTAACTTTCACACCCGCAGTGACTTGGCTGGGGTGTGGGGGAGGAGCCTGCCTCATGTCTTTTCCTTCATAACCCCCTACTCATTATCCAGGGACCCTAGACCTCCTTTGATTCATCCACCTGCTGGGTGACGGGTTGGTACCCAACTCCACCCCAACAGCAGCAAGATCCCAACTATTTGCATTGCCCTAGGACCAGCACTTGCCCTTTCTCGTGTCCCACCCCCGGCCCATGCCAGGGGCGGAAGGCGGGTCACCAGTCGTTGGGAGCTGGGTACAGGGTGAGACCTTGGGCTGTGTGGGGTGCGGACTGGTTGGGAGGCTTGGGGAGGCTGTGCGGGCTCTGGTCCGACAGGGCGGGCTGGCCGTGGGCGTGCGGCAGGCAGGTGCGGGCACAAGACTGCACCAGGCCCGCCGCCCGTGGGCACGCCCCCCGCCCCGCTGCGCTCCGCCCCCGCGGCCCGGCTCCTGACCAGTCGCCACCAGGCCCCGCCCCCGCCCGCAGTGCCCGGATGTGGGTGACGTGCGGCCGCCATCTTCCCGTCCCCGGCCGCCAGCGCCAGTCGGAGCCAGCGCGAGCTGCCGCCGCTGCTGCCGCTGCCGCCGCCATCCCTGCCGCTGCCAAGTCCTGCGTCCGCTGCCCCCGCCATGTGAGTCGGCCGCCCTTGCCCTTCTCGGGCTGGCCTAAGCCGACCGCCGCCCCGGGCCCCAGGCCCGGGGTTGACCCGCGCCCCTCGCGCTCCGCACACCCGGAGACCAGGCCAGCGCCCGTGACTGCGCGCGGGCGGTGGCCGCGGGAGGGAACAGACCTGGTGTCTGTCCGCCCGCCCGCCCCGCCTCTGCCATCGCTGCCCCCCGTCATTTCGAATCGACCCCGGACCATGTCTGTGAGGTTGCCCTTATTTGACAGGCGGGGAAACCGAGGCCTGGAGCGGGGGAGGGAGCCTCACTCAAGGTCACGCAGCTCTTCAGCGGCGGGGCTGGCCGAGGTCCGGGGCTCCCATCGGGTGTCCTTCCTCCCTGGAAGGAAGAAGGGAGGGACGGATGGATGGACAGGCGGATAGGCGGAGCCCTGACTGCGGGCCCTAGGATCCAGGCCCTGGGTCTAAATCCGTCTCCGCCCCTCAGGTCGGCTACCGCAGCCACCGCCCCCCCTGCCGCCCCGGCTGGGGAGGGAGGTCCCCCTGGGCCCCCTCCAAACCTCACCAGTAACAGAAGACTGCAGCAGACTCAGGCCCAGGTGGATGAGGTGAGTTGGGGTGAGGGATGCCAAACGCAGTGGAAAGGACCCTGAGGGTTGACAAACTAGTGTGGGGGTTCACTTGGTCTGGGGGTGATGACAGTTCACGTTTATGAGTTTTGGAACAAAGATACCATGTCCCATTCCTGTCAGCATGCATATGGAAGGGCCCTGGAGTGTTAGCCTTGTTAGCCTGGGATGTTTCAGCCCGGGGAGATGTGTTCTGGTGATGGGCAGGCTGCTTGAAACTCGGTAAATAGAGGGTGCTGCTATGACATCGGAGATGTTTGGCAAGCAGCATGCCTCTGATGTGTGCTCCTTGCATGTCCCCAGCTGTGCTAGGCATGTTCTTTGTGTGTCCTTGGCATGTTAACCTGGCAACATCGGGGTGCATGATCTGTAGTGGTCACATGGTCCAGCGGTGCTCTCATTGAGGTGGGCCTTGGCACACCCCCTGCCTCATTCAGGTGGTAGACATCATGAGGGTGAACGTGGACAAGGTCCTGGAGCGGGACCAGAAGCTGTCGGAGCTGGACGACCGTGCGGATGCACTCCAGGCAGGGGCCTCCCAGTTTGAAACAAGTGCAGCCAAGCTCAAGCGCAAATACTGGTGGAAAAACCTCAAGGTAAGGGTGGAGCCAGGTAGGACTGGTGGGTGAATGGGGGTTTCATGGTCTGCCTCACTGACCCTCCCCTCTCACCTGCAGATGATGATCATCTTGGGAGTGATTTGCGCCATCATCCTCATCATCATCATCGGTGAGTAGGGTGGGAGTAGCTAGGGCCCTTTCTTTGGAGAGGTTTCCCTTACAAGTTCTGGGTTTTGAAGGTCATTAACCTAGTTTTTGCTGTTCAGCAAAAACTATATAAAGCTGCCAATGGCAGTTCTGATCATCTAGAACCCAAAACCTTAATGTTGATTAGCCAGTGCTTTGCCTGGTTGTGGGCAATTCTGTTAAGATTTTTGGAAACAGGAAAGCTGATGCGATCCCCACTGCTCCCTTGAGGACCTTTTGGGTGTAAGACCCCAGTCAGAACCTTGGAATTGGTGGGGTAGGAGAGCAGGAAAGGCCCAAGGGCTTGAGACATGGCTAGGAAGCCAATCATCCAGTTGTTTAAGAGCTTCTGGTCTCAGAGGCCCGGAGCACTAGAGGTCTGCCCCAAGGCCATACCGTGGGGTTGAAGAGACCTTGGAACCCAGCTGTCCAGCCCCCTTGCTTTACCAGTGTAGAACCTGAAACCCAGAGGGGAAGGGATGTCAGCCAGGTGGGGAGTGGGGAGGGTGGGAGCAGGGCCAGGCCTGACACACTGCTTTCTCTCCTTCTCTTTCTCCCCTCTCCCTCTTCTTCCGTCTCTTTCCCTCTCTATAGTTTACTTCAGCACTTAAACCCCCGAGGAGCCTGCCCAGAGAAGGGCCCCCCCACCCATCCCCAGCCACTCCTCCACCTCTCAGCCATATCTTCCAGCCCCCCCATCTGTGTGTGTGTCCGTGTGTGTGCCCTCCTGTAAATAGCCAGCTGTTATTTATACATATATAATATTATATATATTTGGTCTGTTTGTAGTTTTATTACTAGAAGATTTTTCCGGTTGTCCTTAACACCCCTTCCTAAGGTTCCCATCACCTTTCTTTCCCTCCTTCCCTTTCTCTCTTTTCCTCTAAGTCCCTTCATTTGCATCTGCTATGCAATAGTCCCTCTTCCTCTCCTTTCCTTGGATTTAGCTGATCCTTCCTCCCACCCTAGCCTTCCCTATACCCCTACCCTCCTATAAAAAAACAAACAAAACAAAAAGCAGTTGTCCAGACCTCCCTAGATGCATCTTCTTTGCATTATTTGGGAGGCTCTGAGACTGGCCCCACTTGGTCCTAAGAATCCCAAGGTCTGGGAGCTTCCAGCATGTTAATTAGCATTCATGTGCATACTGACAACCCTTTTGGTTTCCTTCTTTTTGTTCCATCACTCTTCTGTTCATTCTTTCAACCTGTTTTTTTTCCACTGAGGAGTTGGTCCCCACTTGTCCTTGTACCACACTTTCATTTGCATGACATTACTTGTAGGTGGTGGGGAGCCTGGGCTTTTGGGGAGCCAGGCTGTTCTGGCCCCCAGAATCATCCCCTCCTAGCCCCTCTAGTCCAGTTTGCCTCTGCTACCCCTGTTTTCCAAACCTCTTGTCCCCTCCTCTCCCTTCCCCAAGCTGGTGTGCAAGTGTCTTGGAGTTCAGTATGTTATGATGGACCAATAATTCTGCCACTTGGAGTTTCTCCTCATATTCCTAATCCCCAGTTTTCATGTGGGGCACTCAACTGACATTTCCATGGGTTCTCCCTCCCTCCCATCTGCCTGATCTTCCCCCTCCTCCTCCCACCAGGAGAGTTAGGGGTTGGCCACAATCTGATCTCTTTTGGGAGAGGTGGCTGCCAGTGTCTGAGGGGTCATCACTGCCTTGGAGAGGAGTGGAGCAGGGCAGAGAATCTCCCCAATTCCTGCTTGAAGTCTCCTCTGGCTCCACCCCTGCTGGAGGTTGGACTGAAAACTCTCCTCCCCAGATTGGAGGGTGTTGCCTCCTTCACTGCCCAGCTCCTCTGACTGCCCCCCCTGAATTCAGGGTTGGGGGTACTAGTCACTGCCAACGTGTGTGTGGGACTTGCTGGAAGATGGGTGTTTTTGCCCCTCTCCAGGGTGGTCGAGCCTAGAGAGAGATCTGTCTTCTCCTTAGGTGAAGTGATAGAGGAAGGGTCTAATGTCTTTTTAAATGGCACAATTTTGGGGGGGCCTGAAGGTGCAGTCCCTTAAACTCACTGGAGGGGACCCCCCCAAACCCTTTCCCCCATACTCAAGGTTCTGTGTGGAGGGGGAGCAGGGAGATCTAAGCTGTGGCGTGAAAGGGTAGGGAGAGATGCTGGGGGTGGGGGTGCTGTGCTCTAGATTCCCCCCATATTATCCCAGTGTCCCCTGCCCCCCCTTCCCTCACCCCATACCCCAAATTCTGTGGCGCATCCAGATTGTGAAAATGTACAATAAACGTGTAATGAGTAACTAAAGTGGTGTCTGTTCTAAGATGTTTTTTTCTAACCCTCACCCGAGGATATTTTTCCATCTATCTTCAGATAGAGTGGGAGGAAGGAAGGGAGGGGAGAGAGAAAGAGAGAGAGAAACACCAATGTGAGAAACACTGGCCGCCTCCCACACGACCCTGACCAGGGTGGAACCGCAATTGAGGTATGTGCCCTTGATCAGAATCAAACCCAAAAGTCTTTGGTCCATGGGCCAACGGTCTAACCGCTGAGCCAAACCAGCCAGGGCATAAGGTCTTTTCTTAATTAATGGGAAAGGTATTGGGGTCTGCAGGTTTAACAGGAAAGTTAAGAACATACACTGGGAAGGGAAATGAGCTTTGTTGGAGGGCCTGACCTTGGGCAGGGCAATGTGTGATTCCCAAACTGGCCACTAGGGTGCACCAAACATTAATGGGAAGTGTTGGTGATCCCAGTGTCTCACCTTGGTGAACCCTGCGGTCTAAGTTTACCATCTTTCCCTCCTCCCTTGCCTGAGGGTATGTTCTTGCCTGTTTGTTGGATCCCTTTTACTCCTTGATTTAACTCCCAGATGCTTTGCAGTCACTCCTGTAGTCATTTACTCCTAGGTCTGAAGTAAATGGCCAACTTCTGTGAAACATCTCTTCCCCTTGTGCCTAGCACAGTGCCAACATCCAGAAGGGGTTAATAAATACTTACTGAACAAATCGGCCTAGGGAGACCTGGCTGAGTGTGGTGTGGAGCTGGCTAGAGATGGCCTATTACCCCTGTACTCTGTTGTCTGACTCCTGACTCTAGTCCATGAGGTCCTGATGTGGCACCATAGCATTCTTGTTCCCAGGTGCCTTAACAGTGAATGGAAAGTGCTAGAAGAGCTCTGTGGGGCTGAATTCTCTTGGCTGCAGGCAACCTGGATAGTGTTTCTCAAACTTGTCAGCTCCCAAGAACTACCAATAATGCTTTTTAAAATTGATTTTCAGGAAATAGATTTTCAGGTCCCTTCCTTGGAGATTCAACATTTCTAAGAAGCCAAGATGATACACTATTTATTTGTTTCTTTAAATCCTCATGGAGGATATTTTCCCATTTTTATTTTTTTTCAGATATAATGGGAGGGAGAGATAGAAACATCAATGTGAGAGAGACACATCAGTTGGTTGCCCCCTGTATGACCCTGGGCCAGGGCTGGGGACCAAACTGCAACTAAGGTACATGCCCTTAACCAGAATGGAACCTGGGACTGTTTGGTCTGCGGGCCTATGCTCTAACACTCTAACCGCTGAGCCAAACCGGCCAGGGCCTTTATTTTTTTTATTTTATTATTTTTTTTATCCTCACCCGAGGACAGTTTTCCATCAGAGTGGGAGGGAGAGAGATGAAGAGAGAGAGAGGGAAACATCGATGTGAAAGGGACACATCGAGTGGCTGCCACCCGCACGACCAACCAGGGCCCGGGACAAACTGCAACCAAGGTACATGCCCTTAGTGGGAATCGAACCTGGGTCTCTCCGGACCGCAGGCGGACGCTCTAACCGCTGAGCCAAACTGGCCAGGGCAGGCCAGGGCCTTTATTGCATTTTATCTACTGAATGAAAACTGTCTAGGTTTAGGATTCCCATAGGTCCTAGGGCCTGCCTTTTTTCTTTTTAACATTTTTTAATTTACTTAATTAAATTTTTAAAAATTGACTTTAGAGAGAGGAAAGGAGAGAGACAGAGAAAGAAACAAAGATGTGCGAGAGAAACATCCAATTGCTTGCTTCTCGCATGCTTCCCAGACCTGCAAACGTTATGTGCCTTGACTGGGAATTGAAGTCACCACCTTTTGGGTGTACAGGAGGAAGCTCCAACAACTGAGCCACACTGGCCAGGATCAGGACATGGCTTCTTTCTTTATTTTATTTTATTTTATTTTTTTATCCTCACCGGAGGACATTTTTTCATTTTTTGTTCAGGTAGAGTGGGAAGGAGAGAGAAGAAGAGAGAGAGAGAAACATCATCGTGAAAGGGACACATCGAGTGGCTGCCACACGCACGACCAACCAGGGCCAGGGACAAACTGCAACCAAGGTACTTGCCCTTAGCGGGAACCGAACCTGAGTCACTCGGGACCGCAGGCCGATACTCTAACCACTGAGCCAAACTGGCCAGGGCAGGACATGGCTTCTTTAAAGTGTTAGGGACTGGACCGGCTGTGTTGTTCAGTGGTTGAACGTGGACCCATGCACCAAGAGGTAGAGGTCACCGGTTCGGTTTTTGGTCAGGGCACATGCCCATGTTGTGGGCCAAATCCCATGGGGGCATGCAGGAGGCAGCCTATCGATGTTCTCTTTCTTCCTCTAAAGATAATAATAAAGTGTTAGGGACCTGGGTTCAAATCATGCCCTGTTACTGACAAGTGTGTTAATCCAGGCGGATTATGTAACCTTTCTGGATCTCAGTCACATTTGTGAGGCAGTGGGTAGTAAGTAAATTGGCCCCGTCCCCATTTGTCCTCTCCATTTGTGAGAAGCACCTGGCCTGGTCCATAGAAAAATGTAGGAACCTTGTGGCTGGGTTGAGCGTCCTCCTGTGCACCAAGTCACCGGTTGAATCTCAGGTTTGGGGTTACAAGCTCAATCCCCAGTAGGGGGCGTGCAGGAGGCAGCCGATGAATGTTTCTCTCCCTCTTCTTTCTAAAATCAATAAAAACAAAATCTAATCTAATCTAGTCCTGCCGGTGTGGTTCAGTAGTTGAGTGTCCACCCATGCACCAAGAGGTTGCCAGTTCCATTCCAGGTCAGGACACATGACCAGGTTGAGGGCCCGATCCCCAGTGGGGGCATGCAGGAGGCGGCCAATCGATGTTTCTCTCTATATCCCTCTCACTTCCTCTCTCTCTAAAATTCAATAAAGGAAAAGTCTAGGAACCTGCTATCATTCTCATCACTCTCCTGCGCCGGCACTGAGATCTAAAGACCTCTTCGCTCTAATGCTCATACCTTCCAGCTTCCGTGAGCCTGCCTAGGCTGGGGAAGTGGGGCGGGGTGTCTGCACAAAGCTCCCCCATTAAACCATCAGCGCCTGCGAGCAGGTCCACTCGCTGCGCCAGCGCAGACTCCACTTCTTGAGTAAGAGTACCGTCAAGGAAAATCCCCAGCTTCCAGGTAAACAAGTAGCCGCGTGAGACCGCCGGCACGTGTCCTCTACAGCTCCGAGACCTCTCAGCCTATGAGAAAGTTTGGAGGGCTGGGCTGGCATTTGCGTCACCGATCTAGGCAGGTCGGGGGAAGTTGCCACAGCCAATATGAACATCCGAAGTAGATGGGGGAGCGGCTTTCTGTCAATCAACACACGCGGGGGGCGGCCCCTCCCGCACGTGTATGTGGCACTGCAGATTGGCAAATTGACCAATAAGATGATGATTGCGGCAGCGGCACCAATAGCGCCAATGGTGGCTGTGCAGAGGCCTGGCGACGGCACGCGGCGTTGGGCATGGATCCTCGCCTTTAGACCAATAAGCTTGAGGGGAGTGGCATTCCAACCGGTGGGCGGGCCTGGAGGATCGAGTCCTAGTCTCCATAGTCCTACTTGGGGAGAGATTGAACTCGGCGTGCTTTCCAAGCGGTGAGTGTTCAGGGGTGGGGGGCGATGAGCGGTGGTCAGTGTGAGTTTTTCTGGGGTGGTGTTCGTGCGGGGGGTGGGGGGCATGATCGCAGCCGTGGGAGCCCTGATGGTTGTAGGGAGTAGGGATCAGAACTCGGCGCTAGAGGGATGGGAGGAGTCACTGACATCAGATCCTTCAGGGCCCTAGGGCACCTGGACCCTTGACTGCCCGGGAGGCGGGTTTCGGAAGCCATCAGCTTTCCAAGGAGGTAGAGGGCCGAAGTCCCTGAGAGTGGCTGCTGTTTCGGAACGTGCTTTAAACACTTGAAAAAGGCAGAGGTTCTGATGCTGCAGGGATGCCCTGGTAAGGCAAGTGGGAGGGTTGGAAAGTTTTGACATAGTGATGATTTTTGTGACCCTGAGCCAGTCACATCAAGGCTCTGGGTGTCCTGTGTGTAAAGGGAAGGGGTTAGGCCTTGGAGCCATCCTTGGGCATAAAGGTGAGGTGGCAACTGTTGGATCCTGAAAGGGGGAATGGGGTTGTACAGATTGGTTGTGCACATGTCCTCCTGAGCATAGGAACCAACAGGGTGCTCTGGTACTGTCTGTACAAACAACTAGGCCTGAGGTAAAGGGACCTGGGGTAAGGTGGAAAAGTGAGGAAGTGGGGTTTCTAGGAAACCACTGGGGCTGGTAGCTGCTAGGATGATCTCAAGGAGTTTGTGAGCATGTGAAAACGAGCTATGATGATTTGAAGTGTGTGAGGTGTGCAAATTGTCCCAAATGAGAGGA